AGGCCATACAGTTGGCCCAAATAAACCAATTCATTTTTACTCTTAAGGTCATTTGAGGATCTGTTCCTCAGGCATCACATGGGCTTGGGAGGAGCCCCTGGCTCCACCAGTTCCACCTATGTGAAGATAAATCAAAGGTCCTTCTCAACCATGGTTGGCATCACTTGGAAGCATAGAGGAAATGAGTCCTCTGTGTTGACCCTCCTCTTTATAGACTGGACACTGGTTCAAGTCCATCTAGTGGGGTCTCCTAGGCCTCCTTAATCAAGAGGACAGGTGACCCACCACCATTATAGGACATTTTGAGAGATGCTCATAATCCCCTGGAACTAGTTGACCTAGGAGGGCAAAGAGCAAAAGTGTCCTTTATGTCCCTCTGACCAAATTATTATAGGCCTCAAAGTATGTCTGTTAAACACTCAAGAAGATTAGTTCCTCCAGTCTGGTACTTTTAATTACTGTGTGTCATGTAGAAAAATCTTGGGCAAAGACCAGTTGTTCTCAGATAAACCTTACCTAGACATATATTTCTTGATCTGCTATGTATATTTTCTCAGTAGGTTGTAGGAGTAATATGGTTCCCTCTGGTTTTCAAAACTAGCTGGGCATTGTTTATCTCTCACACTGTCTCACCCCTCCATCCCCCAATCTTATCCAAAGCAATATTGACAACTGATGACCTCTAGATGAGGAACAGCTGACCCTCCTAAAATAAAGACCTCTAGATAGGCTGACTAGATTCACCAGAAGGGCAAGTAGTGGGGAATGGCTGGGGGGTGGCGACAATGCAGCAGACAGTAGCAGGGATATCAGAGTATAACGGCTCTAGTCGGGGGAGGGAGGCTATGAGAGGGTGCTATCTGGGAAGTGGGTATTGAAAAAAAAAAGAAGTAAAGATCAAAAGCAATTTTTCTCATACTCCGCAGGGTAAGTGCCTGTCAGAAAAGATCCTGGCAGGTGCTATTCCATGTGTTGAATTGTCTGCGAGCCTGCTTTTTCAGTGGTTGGAGTTAGATATCACAGTTTGAATACTTAATCCTGCAGGCAGCTTTTTGTTGTTCATCATTTACCAGTCAGTACCTAGTTTTGAAAGAGAAACTATACAGTGATGTAATCCGGATGTTCCTCCTTAAAGCTGGAGTGGATCCAGGGTCAGCTTGGGCAACTCCGAGCACCCTGGGAAAAAGGAGTGGAGCCGCACCATACTGAGCATTAGCAAATGGGGAGTGAGGAAGACTGCAGGTGGGCAATGGCTGTGGGTATTTCAAATATAAGAAAAGAAAAGCCTATAAGAGTCTGTGTCTTTATAAGTCACCCCCTCCCAAATGTCATATAAAGTATGTAAAATCCAAATAAAATGTCTTATGTCAGTTTGTTATCTCTGGGGCCTCAGAAGGCACAGGTGTGACTCTCCCAAGAAGGGGGAGGGAAAAATTTAGCAAAACAGTGATTTGAGCCATAATGTCTCATATAAAAACTAATTCTTTCTTTGAATTTAAAATTTTTCTGTTCATTACAAAAATAATCCCTGCTTTTACAGGAAGTTACATTCAAAATCCAAACAACTTATAATTTTTTATTTAACATAAAAATTAACTGCAATAATAATCAGGAGAGTTAAATCCACTAAGTATGTCAACTATGGAACTGTTTTCAAATTCACAGACAATAATAACAAAATCCTATTTTGTTCACAAAACTACTCAAACACAGGAAAACTGTTTCCGTATCTGAGGCTACCAACTGGATCAGGACAAAAATGCCTTTATATTTCAAATAAATCTGATTTCAGGTGATTGCTTTCCAACATAATAAAGGCATGCAAAATAAAGATAAAATGCCTAAAACTTCCCTTTAGTCCATAAGCTATTTGTTAAGTTTCTTCTGCAGTTGACAGTGCTCAAGGAAAAGCTGTCCTGATGTAATGTTCCAAGGAGTCAAAGGCAGCCGCAGAAGCATTAGCAGTGATTCCAGAATCTAAAAGCCCAGTGCTCCTGCCAAGTTAGTGAACATCAAGGCTGCGACACAATGAGTTGTCTCAAGTTTGTCTGACTGCATCAGTGTTTTTAAAGAAGCAATTAAATGTCCATTTTATTACTACTCTCTAAAATAATGTTCTTGGTTTGGAAATCCTTTCTGGTAAATTCTTTGATTGCTTCCACAGGTTGCATTTCTTGACATAAGCACAACTGTAAACCTAGCTGTGACTTTGCTCCCTTCAGGTCAAGTTCAGTGCATGATCTGTGCTGATCAGACGGGATTCATACATCTACTATTGCTAACTTCACTAATTCAGTTTTCATTTTCTCATTCTCTGTACTCAGATTTGTAGATTTACTTTTCTCTTGATTGACCAACTTCTCTAATGGAATCCAAATGGGGCATTGACTGTTGTTTCTGGATGAGTTGAGTGAGCATCTCCTTACAGTTCATATTCAGACTGACACTTGATAAAGTTGTTAATGCTGATACAATTGTTTCTGTTTGTTTTGTCAAATGCATGACTTTTCAAGTCCTAAACCAATGTGTTGTTAATTTAGTTTGTTCTAAAGGAGTTCTTGGTGGTGCTTAGTTGGGATGGTCCAGAAATCTCCCTTACAGAGCCCTTGGGGAAAGGCCCTTGGGGAAGAATTAACTCTTTAGAGAACATTGGGGTAATATCATATTTGTTAGTGAAGAGAACTTGAAAATAATAGCATAGCACTGTATAAATAGCATTTATTATCTTAAGGGCAAGATACAGGATTCTAGGCTATAGACTGAGTTCTAGCTTCCCTTGAAGATGGCGCAGTACAAACTCAGAGAAAGGGAAGCAGGCACAGAGCTGCTGTCCTAGAGAAACTTGCTGGAAGTCTGTGCTCCAGGGATCCAGCCAGTTGTTCCTGAGATGTGCTTCCTTGAAGGTCCCTCTCCAGATCCATCTCATGGTGCTGAGGGCAAGGCACCTTCTGGCAGCACTGTCCTACTCACTGTAGATTCTGACTGTCATGGTCTTGATCAGCCTCCATCCAGCAGAGCATCCAGAGGAGTCTGGTTCCCCAGAAGTCACACTCTGGAATTTGCCCTTAGGGAACAAAGAACATGCTTTTCTAGGGCCCTATGTCCACTGACTTTCCAATATCCTGATTAGGGTATGGGGAAGAAAAAGGTAGTCCCAGGGAACTCACTGCCAAGCTGTATCCGTGGACCATTCCCTACTTGCTCTTCCCATTCCCATGAGCCTTCCAGGTACCTTCGCAACAGAAATTGGAAGAAATGCATGTACTATTTTCCTGAAACTGAAAGCATACTTTACATTTAAAATCATTTGTTCCCTTAGACAATGATTTTCTGGATGATGAATGAACATACTGGGACTTACTCTCTGTAAAACACATTTTTCTTTTGATAATAAATTGGGGTTTTGTTTCTCACCACACTTTATCTTTTTTCTTACCATTGTTCACGTCTCTTAAATCTCTACCCCCTTTTCCCTACTCCTAATTGTCTACAGAATATAATGTAAGAAAAAAATTCAACAGTATTATCACTCTTTACCAATCAGTCACCTTCACATTTATTTGGTGTTTAAAAAATTTAAAAACAACAAAACCGTTTTATAGTTTCAATCATAATTTGTTAAAAACAATATTTTGTCATAAAAAACAAAGAATTTTCATCATCATCAGAAATAATTTTATTATTATTTGTTTTAAAGCAATTCAGTGTAACTGGTAGCAAAATGGTACACAGACAATAAATCAGACCAATTCCTGTAGAGCTACAGGACAGATATTTCATGTTTTATTTTCATGTGCAAGTGTAATTATTTTAAAAAGGCAACAGCTTCTTAAAAGTCTTTTATAAGCATATTTTAATTTTTAAATAACCAGAAAGACTAGTAAACTATCATTATTATAGCAAGCAAATATGAATTCTTTCAAATATTAAATTTGGGCTAATATTCATAATCAAAAATAATTATTTTAAGTTATGAAACAAAATTTTTAATTTTATAGGAAATATAGTTGTATCCTAGCTTAAAATCCCAGTCTTAACAACTATCATAATGCAAAAATACTAAACTTCAGGTCTCATTGGGAAATAGAAGATTTGTAAAATCTTACATTTATTCCTAAAAATAACTGTAATGGAATAAAAAATGTCAACTCAAAGAAATATCATAGTTGAATACTAATACTTTAGTTTGAAACAAGATCAATAAATTCATTATATTCTCTATTACATATATCAATTCTGCTTTCAATTTTAACATTAAATGGTGTGTTTTCCACATGTATTTCATGTTTCTAACATATATACACACATATGCATACAATCATTTAGTTTTAAGGCATGCTCCCAATTTTATGTTAATTAATTCTAATTATACTTCTCTGAAGACTAGAGGGGATCTTTCTGTTTTGAGGAAATTCTTGATGTTCATACTTTAAAATGTGGGTGAGGCAGCATACTGATCATAAAAAAGGCAGTGTATAGCCTCCAAATGGCTATTAGCTTTGATTCCATGTTTCTTGCTTTTATTTTCTGTATAATTATTGAAAGAACACCAGACTTCATTTTTAAAAACTTCATTTTAAAAATCCTTCCCAATGCTCACCTTCATTATGAAAAGAAAACACATACATTTTCTTACATGGTCTACTTTAGGTTGCACTGAAACTCAGTGTCAGGTTCAAGAATAAAGAAATATATAAAATTGAGAATTAAAAAAAAAATTTGGAACACCTTAATACACTGTATGATCTGGCCAACTATGTAAGCATTTCCCTGTGCTTTTGGGCCTCTTTATGTAGAGGAAAACTCAAGACAAAAAATGTTAGTGTCCCCAAAAGTCAATTGATATTTGATATACAAATATCTTTTAAATTCTGAATAATTCACATTAAATTTAAAAGACAAGCTCAGCTTGGTGTTGCATGCCTTTAATTTCAGCACTCTGGAGGCAGAGGCATGTGGATTTCTGTGAGATCAAGGCCAGACAGGTCTACATAGCAAGTTCTAGAACAGTAGGGGCTAGAGGGAGACCCTGTTTCAACAAAACGAAACAAAACAAAATTGAAAGACAAATATTCATTTTCAATGTTCTTTCCTTACAAAGCTAAATTATAGATATGGTTGATCATTTTTATATTAAATCAGACTTTATGAGTATGTTTGTGTGTGACTATTTAATATCAAAGACATATGGAGGATGATGATTAAAGTTTTGAAGTGTCTTTGTGTTCCATAAAATGTGTAAACATTCTTCTTTAGACTTCAAAGTATTTTTCTAATGAAATTTGCTATATAGCTAAATGAAAAATGCTAAAGCTAACAGTAATAGAAATCATTACTGCATATCTGACAATCCAGTGAATATTCCAATTCTGATATAAAAATTAACTCAAGAGATATATATTAGTTTCTCTATGCTAGGCATTGTTTTTTAGGAAAACAAATATTTTCTCTTCAGTTCACTTTTCTTGGTATAATATGTATACTAGATGTCAAGTTACCAAAAAAACTCAGATGCTTAAATTTTCTTTTTGTGTGTGTTTATCTTCTGTGTAATTAAACATGCTATAAATATCTCAAATACTAAAATGAACACCACATGGAAAGACAAACAAAAATTGACTCTAAAGATCTATTCTAAAGCAAACCGTGAATCTTGAAAAAAAGTCAGACATAAGTCTGTGGTTAATCTCTAGCCAGAGATAACCAGATGTTCTTGATGAGTTCAATTTTATAAAGCATCAAATTTAAAGAATGTAATGATACATTTAGCTGTAGGAGGAACAACAATCTTCTATGTCCTTGTAAAGTACAGTATTGTTAGATTTCTTTAGTTTATTTTCATAAAATCTTAGCAACTTTTAAAAATTGGCTTTATACAGTTCAGATTATTCTCAAACAGTTAAATATCAGACTGTAACTTTTGTGATTGAAATTGATTTACAGAATTACCCCACTAAGGAAATTCAAATATTAATGAGGGAAGTATCCATGAACAGCACATTATGTTTCAAAGGGATCTGTACTTCTAATAGAATAGATTTTTTTTTAATTCTGGAAAAAGTGAGCAATCAAATACTTTCCTTACATATTGTTAACATCAGCAACACCTTAGAAATTCCAAGAAAGATCCTTGTAGAAAAAAAAGTCTCTTTCTTTGTATCAGAGTTGGGTTTCCTCCCGAGAGTCTTGAACTGTGGCATGGCAGATGCTGTTTTTTCTACTGGGTTCACTGTTTGGAAGATAGGACAGTGGATCTGGTCGGATTAAGTATCTAACAAAAGAAAGCAAAGCAAAAAACTGTGAATAATTAATAAATTCAGCATAAATTTACAGTGACACTTGAAATCTCTACTTCATAATATGTTCTGTTTTTACTCTGTAAATAACTGGTGGAAAGACTGTTTAATTAGCCTGTAAAAAATTTAAGGGCCATTATTATCTTTTTTGTACCTGAGATGATTACAAGGGTAAATGCTAAAGGATGAAGCATTGCCGATTCCTAATTAGCATCTAGCAACTGACTAAAGATTTATGATTTATTCAGTACCATGTTCACTTGCAAGTCTTTATACTGGCTCCTTCCTATCAGGAAGATCTACATTGTAGCCATCATTGCTGAATTGTTCTTAAGATTTTTTATTCATACACATAAGAATTTGATTTAGAGCCTAGTGTGGTAACTCACAGTTTTAATTCCAGCTCTCAAGAGACCTAAGGCAGGTGGAACTTTGTGAAGTCAAGGCCAGAATCACCTACATAGATAATTTCTGGTCTGCCAGGGCTACATCTCAAGAAACAGAATTTGATTTAGGTCATTTAAACAGTCTTTCTAATTTACATATTTAATTACTATTATGGTGGATATTATGCCTAGATAACATTTGAATAGCTGGAAATAGTTTCATGCTGTGAAATGATATATGTCATTACCACATGCTAGCAGTTCAGAATACCAAAGAATAAAGTCCAGACTTGACCTCTGCTATACAGAAGACTATAGCATAAGTTTTGAAGCAATGTAAAGAAGAACAGGAAATTTCAAACAGCACCAAAACAGAAGAGAATCAGGGAATACTTTATTAAGGAATTTGGATTGAGTCTTTCATTACAGCTTGAGAGTAGCAGAGAGATCAATTCCAAATTTACACAGTGGGTGCAAAGATGAAGTGCTGTACCTGATGTGTTTAAAATGTGAGTTGTGGAGGTTGGGGAGATGGCTCAGTGGTTAAGAACACTGTCTACCCTTCCAAATGACCTGGGTTTCGTTCCTAGCACCCACATGGTGGCTAACTACCATCAGTAATTCCAGTTCCAGGGGATCCAGTGCCCTCTTCTGGCCACTGCAAGCATTCTATGACATTAATGTACTTACATCCATATAGACAAATCACTCCTCCACGTAAAATACAGATAATTAAATAATAAATAAATCAAAAACAAAATAAAATATCAACTTGACCAAGACAGATGGTTAGACCACATAGCAGTCCTAGGTAAGTCAGAAAGAAAGGTAGGATAGAGGTAATAAAAGGCCTTACATTTTATACTTTTAATTTCTATTCCAAAGGCACTTGTAAGCCACAAAGGGTGAGCAGAGTAGAGAAGTAAAAGAGTGATATGCAAAGCAGATTTCTCAGATAATCTTTTTCCAGGTGAATATGAAAGTAGAATTTAATATTACTATGTTAATTTTAGAAGAAGGCACAGAAATGAATGGGGAAACAACTTAAAATGAGCACCTAATGAAGACTGTTCTTTCCTTTTCTAGCCTAAAGGAGAAAAATATTCATAGGACTCATCTCTTAATAAGTATGAAAACTAATTCAGAGCACTGAAATCTAGTTTCTTTAATCACATAACGGTTGAAATTAGTGTCCTTGGATCTATTAACTGGGTCTCACTATCTATGCACACTGCTTTATAATTACTTTAAATTTCAGTAGCATTGTAGATCGATGAAGAAAACTAATAGTGCACATTAAGCTTTTTAATGGCATTTCATCTAGTGATTTACTGTTTTGATTAAATTAATGCTGCTTCTTCATTTGGAATGAACTTTTAGAAGTGAATTTTTAGACAAACAAAAAGTATAAGTATAATCCATTATCATCTACCAAAATCATTGATGTTATGACAAACATTGATTCTCACCAAGCACATTTCTTAGGTTCTTATTTGATCTGTTACATGTCATGGTAAATATGACAATCAGTCATAGCTTTGAGTCGTAATAAATTTCTCTCAATGCTATAAATGCAAATCACTACAATGATTTGAGGAATATATTTCTAAAGTTGATGTTTAGCTTAAAACTACCAAAAAATAAGAGTGTGCAAAAAGCAGGAAATTCTCTGAAAACATTCCTAGTGTACTATATATATTGTAACATAAATGTTTTAGTTAAGGATGGGAAAGTTTGGAAATCAGTTGAAGTAATAAACATATATATTTGATGGAAAAACCTGTTCATAGACAAGAGATTGACAATACCAACTTAAAACACTTCAAATAATAAGGTACATAATTATATTATACTTAAGAACTCTAAAATCATACAAATAAAATGTCTAAGGGAACCAATATGATGATCATAATTATAAATATTTAGAAAAAAATGAATTTGGTATTAATGTGGTAGATTGGAGAGTCCATAAAAATTTGTTTTTAATGCCAGGTGTACTGGCACATGCCTTTAATCCCAGCACTCCCAGAGGCAGAGGCAAGAGGATCTCTATGGGGCTGAGGCCAATGTTGTCTTTCAAGTGACTTCCAGGCCAACTGAGGCTGCAAGGAGACCCTGTCACACACACACACACACACACACACACACACACACACACACAAATGCTTTTTAACATAATGATTACATAGGAAAGGAGAGATGTAGATATGGATGGTAAATAAAAAGCTAAATTTAATTATAATAATTCATTAAGTGAAGACTTCAAGATGGAGTTAGGCACAGCATAGATAGACTGCTTTGTGGAACTTTGAAGATATTTATAACTACATGCTGTGGGATAGTTTATTTTTCCTTTGAGCATTTCTTCAATTATTCTATAGGTTTTTTATTGTTTTTTCCAAGCATATATTATCCCATAAATTGTAGAATTTTTGTCACTCTTTGCTTATTTTTGTCTTGTCAACAAATCTACATTTTATAGTTTCATATACAGAGACAAAAAATGCATATTCTTACTTTTAAAAATAGGTTTTTCTAATCATTTATATAATGAGAAAAATAAAGGAGTATAATAATAAATAAAAATATGAATTAATAGTTTATACATGTTTAATGTGAGACATGAGATCAACTTACACAACATCATTAAGCTCAATCCTGGTGTCTGGAGATGGGTTAATCAGGATATAGGAGAGCGTGCTTTGATGATCATTCATTTCATCTAGAAGATAAATATCATTTGTTACATAGTTTACACAAGTACAGCAATTACTTGTGTTCAAATCCCTTTACTGTAAGCAATAACTTGCTATAGTTTTGTTCGCAGAGAGACTATGTATGTAAGTTTGGTTTCTCACATTATTGCCGTTAAAAATATCTGATAAATACTAACTTTTTATTCCAATAGATGATAATGTATCAAATTCTTTTCAGCATAACCATAGTACCATAGCTACATTCTGTCCTGAAAACTATTATAATCCAAAAGGATTTCTACTAACAATGGATATTTACTTATTTATTATGCTTTATCAATTATTTTTTAAAAACAACAAATAAACAGTCATGTTAAAGAATGTTAACATAAGAAATTACCTAAAAGGAATATAATTAGAATGTGTTTAATGGATATTATATAATTGTACATAAAAGCCATAAATATGTCTGACTTCAAAACACAAGATATGTGATAGAAGCAATTGTACTGCTTTTTCCTTGTTTCAGAATACAAACAATTCTGCTAAATTAATGAAGCCAATGTGTATTAGAATCTCTGCCTCTAAAATGGTATTAAATAAACCTCATTTCTTTAAAAATACCTGACCTTGAGTATTTATATTATAGCACTGGGAGCTCACCAACAAAACAGGGTATTGAATTTAAAAAAATCAAACAACTTTATGGGTTCAATATTTTAGATTCCAGGGGTATTATAAAATGTAAAATAAAGTCGTGTGGACACATACTTCAAGTAACAAAATTCCTCAGAAAGATAAAAGTCTGTAGCCAGGGATGATACACTTAAAACCATACTCTGGAACATTAATAAGCATATTTCTTGAAAGAAATGCAAAATTATTCAGTTTCAGGAGGCCATCAATTCTTAATAACTTCATGAAAGTTCTTATTAGGCCAGCGTAGATGAACTTGATAAACATTTTGTTGCACAGAAGTGTTATTTTCTCAAAATAATGTTACTCATCACATTATTCTGAGTAGAAATGTGTCATCCTAATGTCTTAATAATTTCAGTTATAGTTCCATTTGATAGGAAAATAACTTCAAAATCTATAAATCAAAGTCCTTTCACAGGGCAGATCAATTGCTGGATAGTTGGGTTTATCAGTAAAAATTAGTATAATCTCAAATTCACCAAATTTATATTCAAATAAAGTAATACATTTGGCTGTTAATCTATAGCATTGATACAAAAACCTGCATCCTGCTATAAGATCTAAGTTGTCGGTAAAACAAACAAATAAACACCATTGGGAACCATTTCTATTTGTTAAACCTTGAAATCATACCTGAGGACAGATAGCTAACTCAACAAGGTGGACCTTGGAATTTCAATTAAAATATAAGGCTGTTTCCTACAAATACAATGCAAATCAAACTTAAAGCATACTATACTAACATGAGATTATCAAAATCATATATCTCAAGGAAAAGCAGGTTTGGTTCATATGTTCTTTTCCGAGAAATGTTTCCTTTTGTGTGAATTATAACAACCTATTTTCAAAGGAACTGAAATTGATGGTTGTATTCTGGACCTAAATCACAATGCTGAAATGTAGAAGCTCTACTAGAAAAACTCTCCATTTCACTTGGCTAGGAGGAATTCAGTTCCTTAAGTAAACAACAGTATCACTTAACTGTGATATAAGAAAACCAATTTAAAAGATCATATCTTCTTTTTCTTTAATTTTCTTTATTTTTATTTTATGTGTATATGTGAGGCTGCCAGATCCTCTGGGACTGGAGTTATAAACAGTTGTTAGCTGCCTTGTGGATGCTGGGATTTGAAACAGGGTCTTTTGCAAGCATATCTTCTTTTTTTAGTATTTTATTTATTATTTTATTTTATATGTATGAGTCTATTGCCTGCATGTATGTGAGTGCACCCATGTCTCGCAAAGCCACGGAGGTCAGAAGAAGGCTTTGGATTCCCCTGGAACTGAAGTTAATGACAGTTCATAGCTGCCATGTGAGTTTTGAGAATCAAACCTGGGTCCTCTGCAAGAGCAGAGTGTGCTCTTATAACTGCTGAGCCATCTCTCCAGCCCCAAAGATCATATCTTAATATAGATGCCCAATCTTTCTCAATCATTAACATACTATTATACACCGTTCTTTGTTTCTGGAATCAAGCAAAAATCCAGTGGAACCTGGATTTGATTATTGTAATACTATCTAGATAATTAAGAGATTTCCAGTAGTGAATAGAATCATCTTGCCGATATTTTGGTTTACTCAATTGGCCTATTTAGCATATCATGCTGAACATTTTTACTTGGCATCGGGCTATAGGAATTCAGTGGACATTTTAGTAATATGTTCAATTCAATGACATCATATGCTTTAGCTAAAGACATGATAAGACTACATTCAGAACTAGAAATTCTGGTTTCTTTCTTCACTCCTCAATGACTTGTCATCAGGGAAGAGGAAAGATACCTTTTTGATTAAGGTTAAAAGTAGTTGTTGAGTTCAAAACGTTTCTCTCACTTTCTTTTCTGGCTGCCTTGATAGAGTGTCCATTCTGACCTGCTGTTCTCTGCTGCACTTTGCTGGAAGGCCTGCAGGGATCTCTCCTTCTTGATTTTGCATTTAAGAATTAATGAGTAAGGTTTTATACAGTCTATTGTAGATACACATCAAAGCTACATTCAACAATAATTTTATCAGTCACAAATTTGGTGTTTTGTCTTAATTAGCCATTATCTGTAGTTATAATCTAATTATTTCTTAATTCTGCATGGTTGGAAGTGTAGTAGGATTAATGGATTTTTAAGAGCTTGTCATTATGATTATAGTTGACATTAGAAAACAAGCAAATCTGTCTTCACAAATATTATTATAATCCAATACTTACCAGAAATATATTTTCTTTAAATTTGGTTTCATGAAGCAAAGATCCAAGATTGAAATTTCAATTGGAATATAATGATATTTACTCCAAATACAGTACAAACCAAACTCAAAGCACACTATGCTGACATGAGATTATCAAGACCATATATCTCTAAGCAGGTTTGATTCATACGTTTCTTTTTTTTCTTTCTGAAATATTTTCTTCTGTTTTCCTACCCCAAAAAAATGCATTAAGAGAATCTGCTATGAATGTACTCACTGTGCCCAGATAGCTAAACTCTGACCTCAGCAAACTGAAAAATGCCATACAGTACAAATTACTGTCACTGAAATTACTTTTTCACACACAGTGGAAAAAAGACAGAGTTCAACAAATGGTCCTGGAAAAACTAGATATCCACCTGCAGAAGAAGGAAATTACATTCATGTCTTTCATCCTATACAAAACTCAATTCAAAATGGATCAAAGACCTTAATTTAAAACCCAAAATGCTAAAACTTCTAGAGGAAAGCATAGGGGATATACTGCAAGATATAGACAAGAACTTTCTGAACAGGACTTCAGTATGACAGGAGCTTAACAAGTGGGACAACACAAATTAAAATGGCTCTATACAGCACTGAACACTCTTAAAGAGAGCAGAGTAAGCTGTATATACATCACAGACTCAGCGATTACCTAGAATTTATGAAGAGTTAAAAAAAATGAAACACATTCCAAAATGCCTATTTAAAAATGAACTCATGAAATGAGCAGTTCTTAAAAAAAAGAAACGCAAATGGACAATAATACTTTTAAACCTCTTAAACAATCCTAGCCATTAGGAAAATGGGAAATGAGGAGAATGGGGTGGGTTAAACAAATTTAAGATGTATGGAGAAGACTTGGGAACCCCTACTAGGTTGTAACCTAATTAAAAAATATTTTTCTTAAAAAAGATTTGAACAGAATTATCCCACTTAGTGGCCAATGCTGCTTTTAGAAAACCTGATTTATTAAATGAAAATCTCAGTGCTAGTCATGGGCTACTACCCTGTGAATTACTAGTCAAAGAGGTCCCAGAGGCATCCAAAATAACACAGGCTTTTGTCATTGCTCTTGTTTCCCACCATAACTAGATGGTAAGACCTGTTCCTGAAGATATCACACACTTTGGTTACAAGAAACATGGAAATAAACTTTGAAGTGACCAGGAAACTCTCCCTGGTGGGTAGCTTTCATAAAGCTGGAAGGTGCAATGTAGGCTGCTGGGGGAGGAAAGGTATCAGTGGTCTAACACAGCACTGCACACTGCATGCAACAATACTAACCCACCAGGCAAGATGAGGTTCTCCCTGCTGGTGCAATAATGGAAAGACTGTTTACAGGTGTAACTAATTGCTCTCTTGATTGGATTTGTGGCCTATTCCACTAGAGGAAATTCATGGCTAGTACTGTGAATATGATTAAAACCCATGCCTGGGAAGTCATAGGCCCTAGAAAACCTACTGATGATGTTTCTAAATGGTCATGTGGTCAAACTGCCTTATAAATAATTGTGTTAATAGCCATGGATCTCTCAACCTTGGTCAGAGAAGCTTCTTATGGCAATGGACAGTGAGTAATAAGAGCCGTAAATGTTCAAAGTGTTGTGAGTAAGTGACTGTGGGTGCTCAGCCAGAGACAGGGAATCTACACCAACAAAACCACCTCACCAAGGCTCAGGGAACACCAACAGAGAGGATGCACAACGGATATAAGAAACAGACGATGGAAGGAGGTGTGTGAAATGCTGTTCTCTGACCTGACATGGCTGTTGCATACCTGAACTCACAGCAGCTGTGGTTACCTGTATCCAACCTTCACATGATCAAGCCAGTTAAAAATTACAGCATGAAATGGGGAGGGCTCCTGGGGCAGTTGGTGGCTGCTTGGGAGGGAGAGTCACTTTTCTTTAGGGGTATGGTCACTGGTAGTTGTCCCCATGCCCTACTAGATGAGTGATTAAACACTCGTGCATATGGGCAGTACTAATTGGACTCAGTGGATTAAAAAATAAGTATATAAATTATAAAGAGATAACATAGGTGGGGAGGAAAGGTGGGGGGGGCTCCTGGAGGAGGTAGAAATGAACGGGTTCTTTGATT